TATTACAGGTTGTACCTCTCTAGTCCGGCATTCTGTGGTCCAGAAACTCCCGTGGTTCGGCACGATTTTAGTTTGTCCAATAGGTAGATAGGCAGCTTTTATTTTTTTTATTTTTTTTTAATCTGCATTATTATTAATATTACAGGAGTATTAAATTTTTGCCCCTCAGGCCCCAATGTGGGTCAGTGACCTTTGCCCAGGTGGGCTAATCCCCATAAAAAAAAAAAAACAAAGCCGCGGGAAATTAAGGTTTGTTTACATCCGGCAGTTTGGCTGCTCTCTATCTCTCTCTGCTTGTCTATACAGAGTACAACATTTAACCCTTCAATATATATGAGCAGTAAATAAGTGTTGCTTTCATATTCTTATGTAGAGTAATGACGATATGTTTTCACATGTGCGCACTTACATACGCGCAGTCTCACTTTTTTTCTTAACCATTAATGGTTAGCTACTTATATTGTTCCATTTATTACATTAAATAACATTACTTCAAACAAGCATATTAATTGTTTAACATTAATTTTACTACAGCTACAATCAGGGTCTTATTTTCTTCAGTTTTATATGTAGAACCAATCAGTCACTGGTTTTGTAAGCTTTAACAAAAACAATGCCGGCAACCGTCTCGTCTCCTCGTGTTAATATTCCACGTATTATTAATGAATTGTATTGTTCATTTTGCACACACAAACATTAATTCAATAAAAAAAAATTCAGAAACATTATTTAAAATATATATGAACGGTAAATTATTGTTGCTTTCATATTCTTATATGGAGTAATGACGATATGTTTTCACATGTGCGCACTTACATACGCGATCTCTCTTTTTTTCTTTACCATTATCGTTAGCTACTTCTATTGTTCCATTTATTAACATTAAATAACATTACTTAAAACAACCATATTAATTTTACTACAGCTACAACCAGGGTCTTATTTTCTTCAGTTTATGTGTAGAACCAGTCAGTCACTGGTTTTGTAATCAACGAAAACAATGCTGTCTCATTTCCTCGTGTGTTTTAATATTCTACGTATTATTAATGAATTGTATTGCCCATTTTGCACACATAAACATTAATTCAATCAAAAAGACATTCAGTAATGAACAATAATGAATCTTTTGTACATAAGAGAAATGACGCTGCTTACATGATTGTGCACGTCGTCTGCACGTTGGTGGGCCGTTCAAACACGTCGAAATTCGAGTTTCCGCAGTCAAAATTTTTAATTTTTTTGTTTTTTGGTGTGTTCAAATAAAAAAACGTTGAATTAAAAACTCGCGAAATTTGAGAAGCTACTGTACGACATTTAACCCTTCAATATGTCTTCAAAGAGACCATGAAGCAGAGAAAGTGGTGCTAGTGCTTCCAAAAATAAGCACAAGTCACTATCTATCCAGGAAAAGGGCGAATTTCCATGGTCCGGCACCGGTCAGGTCCCGAGGCTGCCGGACTAGAGAGGTACAACCTGTACCTTGAACCCAAGAATTTAATATTACTTTGAACCCAAGAATTTATCAAATGCTCAGATCGTCCTTTTTCATTCAGAGACCCCCTCGGCCTATGAGAATCCCACCTTGGTCTCTAGATAAGTTACTAAATTTCTTATGGGGCCTAATTTCAATATACATCTGAACATGGACACATTGCTCCAGAAGGCAGACTTCCTTCTAGCAATAGCAACAGGTATGAGAATCAGTGAGCTGATTTCAATTTCCAATAATCCATCATTACTGTATTGGTATTTTCTGAGGAAGATGTCACCCTTTTTCCTCTGGAGATCCTAAGAAAAAATGAAAGGGAGGATTTTAGAGCTCAACCTATCAGGATAAAACGGCTGATGGATGAGACAAGGGTTCCTCATATATTGTGCCCAGTTAGGAATCTTCAAGAATGGTTAACCAGATTCCCTAATCGACACCCCTATGCATTCTCATCACAGGAAGGTAAGAAATTGTTTCCTAGTCAAATGACAAAATATTTATCTTAGTTAGTGAGTACAGCAGACCCTGGCAAGAAATTTTTGGCACATGACACCAGGAAATATGCAGGGTTTGTGGCCTATCTGTGGCATATGAGCCTCAGTCAGATCAAAGATGTGGGCTTTTGGAAATCTTAAAAAAACCTTTCAAAACATCTATCTCTGAAAGATGCTTAATATGTGGTGGTACTGGGGTCCCCTCCCCCACCTACTTAATCTCCACAACCAGAACCTTATTCTTCCTCATCAGAGTGAAGTGAGTATTCTAATTGGGATATGTAAATTAACATTTTACCTTCCAGTAAATGTTCCTAATATTGAAAATATTAAAAAAAATAAAATTATAATTATAATCTGGACCTTATACGCAATGTCACCTCCTGCTCGGGTAATCAAAGCTAGACGTCGCATTCTGGATTGAACGAAAAGCCGTTTTTTTCTAAAAACCAGTTTTTGTGATATAGTCCAGAATGCGACGTTGGCATCCCACCCACCTCCACCCTTTGAGAGTTGACATTTGTTTACTGCTCACTCTAGGGCAAGAAGATGATGGTAGCAAAGTGTGTGATGGAGGGTGCGGGAGGGGGTTTTGAGAATTGCAATTAAATGGCAGGTAGTGATGTGTCGTCCTAATATTACGTATTAAGTAATTACTAGATGTTTTAATTGCCTGTATGTTGGCCTGGTGAGTTATTGCTAGGCATTAACATACCTAGGTTTAAAACTAGAGGTCACATTCTGGACTATATCACAAAAACTGGTTTTTAGAAAAAAAGAGGCCTTTTTTACTTTTGTAAGGGGGGGTTGCTTCGATAATTCGGAATTTGCAATAATTCGGCAAGGTAAGAGTCCCATACGTGCATTATATATATAAAAGGTTATGTACAAGTTTTGTGCACACATGGCCTATGTATAGTACAGTAATTAAATACCTAGGTACAAGGACACCAACACCCTGCTTACCACTAAAACTGTCATAAGCATTACTAAGTCAGATTCAACAGGTATGCACAAAGTTCCTCATCTGTTGAAGGATCACACAAAATAATTTTACCTGCTGGAGGATGATGTGGTAGGTAATTGTTCCAGTAGATCATAAATGTAGTTTTGATAAATCTCTATGTAGGTCACAAACACAGCGTACTTGTTGTCTTCAATAAGGGTGTGGACTCTGGACCCATCAGGGATGCGGTGTGGGATGTCTTGGGCTGGTGTACTAACTATCCTAATGTGATAGAGGATTTATTAGAAAAGAATACAATACAAGAAATACAGTAATGTACAAGACTGACAGAGAGAAAAAATTTAAGACTCATATAAGTCTTCCTGGATTTATAAGAATGTAACAAGTTAAGTTGCCACCAAAATATCAGAAAGGTAAAACTGTTTATGATAATTAAATTAATCATCTGAGAATTATTTTTCACCTCTGCAAGTCATGATGATGATGGTGATGATATTTAATATAATATTGTACAGTAGGGTCGGGATATATCGCGAGATAGGGTCCAAGGATGTTTGCTATATACTAAATTGCGATATATAATTACAGGTACCCCACTTAACGCTGTCAATTGAACCCAGAGGGTCCCGCGTTAAGTGAAAACCGCGTTAAGTGAATAACAGAACATATGGGATTAATTCCAATAGAACCCAGCCCGACCCCCAAACTCCACTTTTTGACGACAAATAACTATGTTGTAGTAAAAATAACATCTTAATTTTATGATGGTACATGCACACAATTAATACTTAAGAGAAATACAGTCGCCAAGTTAATGTCCATTCAAATAATGGACTCAACTCCCTCCCCCTCTCACACTACAGTACACAGCCAGCTAACAGATGGTCGGTCGGTCCCTCCCTCCCCCCCCCACACCCACCAACCGTCCCAAGGAGATGTGTGGGATAACCTCAAACTAAAGTTAGGAAAATATAATTGACATTGCTGGATTCCTTGTAAGACCAGGAATATTTTGAATATAAATGTCATATATTTTTCACAAAAGATAACATACTTACTCAGATTAAACATTTTATCTAAAAATTGTATGTTTAATGCAAAAAATATGTTGTTTATATTCAAAATGATCACCAAATTATAAGAATTCCAGCAATGTAAATTATATTCTGGCCGGATAATTTGTATGAATTTTATGAGCTAAAACAAATATCTACAGTTAATAAAAAAAAAAATATATTCTTCAACACTATCTGTCAATCAAAGTACCCCACCTTGCCTCCCCCCCTCTTCCAACCGCGCGGTCAGTCCCAACCCTCCCCCCACCCCCCACCAATCCTCCATTCAGTATTAAATAATACCTCAGATTAAAGTTAGGATAATATAATTGACATTGCTGGATTCCTTGTAAGACCAGGAATATTTTGAATATAAATGTCATATATTTTGGACAAAAGATAACATACTTACTCAGATTAAACATTTTATCTAAAAATTGTATGTTTAATGCAAAAAATATGTTGTTTATATTCAAAATGATCACCAAATTATAAGAATTCCAGCAATGTAAATTATATTCTGACCGGGTAATTTGTATGAATTTTATGAGCTAAAACAAATATCTTCAGTTAAAAAAAAATAATTCTTCACCGGGTAACAGATGGTCGGTCGGTTGGTCCCTCCCTCCCCCCCACCCCCCACCAACCGTCCCAAGGAGATGTGTGGGATAACCACTAAATTTTAATAAATAATACCTCAAACTAAAGTTAGGATAATATAATTGACATTGCTGGATTCCTTGTAAGACCAGGAATATTTTGAATATAAATGTCATATATTTTGGACAAAAGATAACATACTTACTCAGATTAAACATTTTATCTAAAAATTGTATGTTTAATGCAAAAAATATGTTGTTTATATTCAAAATGATCACCAAATTATAAGAATTCCAGCAATGTAAACTATATTCTGGCTGGGTAATTTGTATGAATTTTATGAGCTAAAACAGGCAGTCAGGCAGGGTGGCGGGTGGGGGGTGGTGCGAATCTAAAAATAGCTCTCGAGCCGGACACTCACCGCGTTGCTGTGGAAAAATCCGCGTTAAGTGAAAGTTCAGCTTTGGCAAGGCACCGCGTATATGCGAAAACGCGTTAAGTGAAAGCGCGTTAAGCGGGGTAATACTGTACATGCAATCAATGGGGAAAATAGGGTTAGGTTCTGGAGGCCAATAAAAGTGACTAAACTTGACTTAACAAGTTTATTTTCCTACTAACTAAAGCACCAATGAACACTAGACTCTGGACCAACAGACTGTATGACTGATAAATACACACACTAGGTAACCTTCCCAAACCTTTCCTGTGGCTGTCAAAACAAATCATCCTCAGTGCCAGGGTGAAGGAGGTTTTAGGCTTAAAAGTTTTATCTTATAAAATGTCACAGACTAAAGTTAACAGAATATAAATTACATTGCTGGAATCCTTGTAAGATAGTGATTAGTTTGAGTATAGACATCATATATTTTGCACATGAGATAAAATTTTTGTTGCTTAGTACATTTAAGTACCTGTACTGTTCTATATTGGAAACTGTCGATAATTTTGGTAGCAGCGATATAATTTATTTTTTATAAAAGTCGCGAGATATCCCAACCCTACTGTAGAGTGACTCCTACCCCTTCTGAGGGAAGTTCCTTACAGAAGTGAGATAATGAATATATAATCTGAGAAAAAAAATAACAATATTATAAAAAACAGAAAACAACACCTTTGTCTCTGAGTTCGAGGAGTCTTGTTAACATTCATCTGAGTGTTCAATGCCTTACGACTCTCAGCTGCCTCATCTTCTGTCTGGACATCAAAACCATTCATGCAGTCTGGGACAAAAACACATCTTTCAGCCTGATAATCTTGTATACTGTTGAAGATTACATCCAGAGTCCTCTGAAGTACACCACAATCTTCTGGAGTACCCTAATGAATGAAGTGTTGAGTTACACGACTGTATCAATAGATGTTTACACGATACAATGATGCCACTATATTAGTAATACAGGTACAGTAGATTAGATGATCATTTTACCACCGATCATTTATCCAAGCCAGGGCTTTACCATGCTTTATTAATTGAAACTAATACTGTACTGCTGTTTAACCGCATCAAACACACCTTAACCGCGTTTGGAAGATATTTACCGCATATTGCGGCCTATAAGTCGACTTTTGAAGCTCCAATTTTTGTGTTCATAACTAAGGGTCGTCTTATACGACAGGTATAAAATGTCAACCTCTAAGTACACTCCACCACTAGCATCAGATTTTCACTTTACCTTACCAGTAGGTCTCACTCACTTAATTTCCAGCACTCACAAACAAGTTTCACTTAACTGTAGCATCTTACCGGAAGAGTAACTGTTACTGAACGCAACCTAAGATCAATGTTTACACTAGTCATACCAACACCTTTCAAACATTAAAATATCTTTTGGTGTTACCTACAGTTTCCTACAAACAAACGTTACTAGGGCAGTTACTTGTAATATTTGTTACTAAAATTGTTTAAAAATGCAGATACGGTATACAGCTCCTCCCCGACTTACAACCACCCGGACATACGACCGCCTCAGTTGTACCAAAATTTTGTCAAATTACATATTTTTGAGTCCCAATGTCAGTGATTGCATGTACTGACAAAATTTTCATTTGTAATTCACTTTTAAATGGCTGGCAAGCTTAAAAGTGAGTTTTGTGGTGTTGAGAAGAAAGAGACACCCATTTTAGATTTTCTATGTATTATTTAAGTATTTTCGACTTACGACCATTTCACCTTACTACCTGGATTTGGGTCCCTAACCCAGTCGTAAGTCGGGGAGGAGCTGTATACAGTTAAATAACTAACTGGCCACACTACCAATCTTCCTTACTTTACAATCCTACACTAAATATTCTACTTATATCTTCTATATAAGTTTCACCTGTATTACAAAAACATAGCTCACAGCTATAATGAAGAAATATTAATTCTCTTTATGTTTTTGACATTTTGATATTATTTTTTTCTGCGCATTCTGTATATATATACAGCACCCTAAATTATGAGTTGAACAATAACATAGTTCAGAGCTCAGCCTCACCCACTACAGGGTGGTGAGTCAGTAATTCAGCTACAGTTACGTGTCATTCCACAAATATTATTCTTCGTTTAGGATATTACCCTGTACGTATTTCTCATACCCCGTTTAGCAATCATTAAACTTAACAATCGGTTTTTCAGGAACGCATCCCAATCGTTAAACGAGAGATACCTGTTAAAGAAACTCATTTATTATCATCATTAGGGAGTACTGTACAGTACTTATTTAGTATTTACTGCCCTGTCGTTTGAACCTGTTGTTCGCCCTCTGTTTAGCAATAATTTCACGTAACGTTAAGCTTTTCAGGAACCCAACCCCATCATTAAACGAAGGATACCTGTCATTTTAGAAGTATTAAACTACTCACAAGAGTAATGAATACTGTACATTACTATCATCAACCTCCTTAAGTACTGAACTGTACTGTATTTCTCAACATAACTCACTCCCTTACCTGCATAGTGTATGTCTTGCCAGAGCCCGTCACACCATAAGCAAACAGAAGACTGTTCTTCCCCTGTAACAAATCAGCCACCAGTGGTTTAGCAACTTGATCAAACAGGTGCTTCTGTGATGCCTCTGGGCTGAACACATGTTGGAACTTGTAATACTGTTCCTTGCCACTGTTGCGGAAGGTATAACTGGTAGGTGGAGGCATCAGCTGAAAAATCATATGAATGAATGTAATCCATAGAGGAAAATTAATTATACAGTGTTACCCCGCTTTACACAAGTGAAGGATTCACTTTCCGCGATTTCTCATTTACGCGTACCGGACTTTCACTTTCCGCGGTGCATCTACAGTACTCATATACGCGTGAAGTATAATTTTCTTTTTTTATTTAGCTCATAAAATTCATACAAATTACCCGGCCAGAATATAATTTACATTGCTGGAATTCTTACAATATGATGATCATTTTGAATATAAACATCATGGACTTTGCATTAGACATACAAATTTTAGATCTAGTGTAATAATTTGGTTTACACAAAGCAAGTATTTTATCTTTTGTGCAAAATATATGAAGTTTACATTCAAAATATTCCCTGACCTGCAAGGAATCCAGAAATGTCAATTATATTATCCTAACTTTAGTCTGAGTTATTATCTATTACTAAAAATGTAAATTACTATTTTTCCCAAAGCTTCTCTGGTAGGGAGGGAAGGTGGGGGGTGGGGGGGAGGGAGGGAGGGACCAACCCAGCTAGGGCTTGATTGACAGATAGTGTCCTTGAAGAATATTTCTTTGTTTATTTAATGAAGATATATGTTTTAGCTCATAAAATTCATACAAATTACCAGGCCAGAATATAATTTACATTGCTGGAATTCTTACAATTTGAAGATTATTTTGAATATAAACATCATATATTTTGCATTAGACATACAAATTTTAGATCTAATGTTTACTCTGAGTAAATATGTTATCTTTTGTGCAAAATATATGACATTTATATTCAAAATATTCCTGGACTTACAAGGAATCCAGCAATGTTAATTATATTATCCTAACTTTAGTCTGAGGTATTATTTATTACTGAAAAGGTAAATATTCTGGTTTTCCCACACATTTATCTGGTAGGGAGGGTTGGTGGGGGGTGGAGGGGAGGGAGGGACCGACCGACCATCTGGCACGGTGTGAAGAATATTATTTTTTTATTAACTGAAGATATTTGTTTTAGCTCATAAAATTCGTACAAATTACCCGGCCAGAATATAATTTACATTGCTGGAATTCTTACAATTTGATGATCATTTTGAATATAAACATCATAGATTTTGCATTAGACATACAAATTTTAGATCTAATGTTTACTCTGAGTAAATATGTTATCTTTTGTGCAAAATATATGACATTTATATTCAAAATGTTCCTGGTCTTACAAGGAATCCAGCAATGTCAATTATATTATCCTAACTTTAGTCTGAGGTATTATTTGTTACTAAAAGTTAAAATTAGTTTTTTCACCCAACATTTCTCTGGTAGGGAGGGAAGGTGGGGGGAGGGTTGGGACCGACCGACCATCTGGCGCGGTTGGAAGAGGGGGGGGAGGCAAGTTGGGGTACTTTGATTGACAGATAGTGTCGTGAAGAATATTTTTTTTTATTAACTGAAGATATTTGTTTTAGCTCATAAAATTCATACAAATTACTGGACCAGAATATAATTTACATTGCTGGAATTCTTACAATATGATGATCATTTTGAATATAAACATCATGGATTTTGCATTAGACATACAAATTTTAGATCTAATGTAATAATTTGGTTTACACAAAGCAAATATTTTATCTTTTGTGCAAAATATATGAAGTTTACATTCAAAATATTCCCTGACCTGCAAGGAATCCAGAAATGTCAATTATATTATCCTAACTTTAGTCTGAGTTATTATTTATTACTAAAAATGTAAATATACTGTTTTCTCCCAAACATTTCTCTGGTAGGGAGGGAAGGTGGGGGGTAGGGAGGAGGGAGGGAGGGAGGGACCCAGCTAGGGCAGAGGTGGGGTATTTTGATTGACAGATAGTGTCCTGAAGAATATTTTTTTTTTTATTAACTGAAGATATTTGTTTTACCTCATAAAATTCATACAAATTACCCGGCCAGAATATAATTTACATTGCTGGAATTCTTACAATATGATGATCATTTTGAATATAAACAACATGGATTTTGCATTAGACATACAAATTTTAGATCTAATGTAATAATTTGGTTTACACAAAGCAAATATTTTATCTTTTGTGCAAAATATATGAAATTTACATTCAAAATATTCCCTGACCTGCAAGGAATCCAGAAATGTCAATTATATTATCCTAACTTTAGTCTGGGGTATTATTTATTACTATACCTTAAAATCTAGTGTTTTCACCCAAACATTTCTCAGAGGTAGGAGCCAGTGAGCTGGGAAGAGGGAGGGAGTGATTCGAGTCCATTATTTGAATGGACATTAACCTGGCGACTGTATTTCTCTTAAATATTAATTGTGTGTGCATACCATCATAAAATTAAGATGTTATTTTTACTACAACATAGGTATTGTGTTGGAAAAAGTGGAGTTGGGGGTCAGCTGGTCTCTATTTCATTTAATCCCATATGTTATGTTATTCACTTTACGCGTTTCTCACTTTCCGCGGTACCCTGTGGGTTACATTAACCGCGTAAAGTGAGGGTTGACTGTATTAGGTTTTTTAACAATTACATTAGTAGAAAAGATGGCTGGGCACATGGGGATGAGGGGTTGGTTCCGAGGTAGAGGGCAGATTATTGGCCCTCACCTGTATCACTATCCACCACAGAGGCTTGCAGGGCCACTTTGTCAAACCCCTCAAAGTCCATATCCTCACTATCACTGACTTGGGCCGGCTGTGGTGGGTGGCAGGTGAAGAACTCGGTACTGTTTTGATGACTGGGCGACCTTGTGCGCATCCTGCCCACGCCGCTTCCCGCGTATATGAGTAGATGCACCGCGTAAAGTGGGAATTCCAGTTCTGGCGGGGTACCGCGTAAATGTAGAAAAGCGTAAACGAGAACCGCAGAAAGCGGGGTTTTACTGTATTTATTTTTAATTTTTTTATTAATTTTATTACTATTATTAATGTTACCATCATCATCCTCATAATTATTATTAATATTATTATTTTATTATATTTTTGCCCCCAGGCCTTGATGTGGGTCATTAAAAATTACCTGTGCCCGGGTGGGCTAATGCCCATAAAAAAGAAAAGGGGGGAGGGGGGTAGCCATTTTTCAGACAAAAAAGTACCTGTATTGGAAATTTCTGTTGAAAAGGGGGGTTTGGGACCACATCTGGATCCACCCCTGCAAACTGGGGAAAGAATTCAAACTGAGCAGGGCCTTTGTTGTTGTGGCTGCTATCAGTGCTATCAGCTGATGAGGTGAGCCTCAGAATCCACATGAAGCACATTTTTTAAATGAACACCAAAATATGTTTTAACCCCTTTTCTTTTCTTTTTTTACGGGCATTAGGCAACCTGGGCACAGATCAAATGACCCACAACGGGGCTTGGGAGGAAAAAAATAAGAACAGAAAGAAATTGAATATAGACAAGAAAAAGGTTATACTGTGTTAATCTACACCACGAAGATGCCGAAAAACCAGCTTTTTAAAGTGAGACAGATTGTATAAGTATGGAAACACAGAAGAAGGCAGAGCATTCCACATTTTGGCTGTGTGAGGAAAGAAGGAGGTACTATAACGGGTTATTCTTGTGTGACCGACATCCACAGAGAAACGGTGGGCACCTCGGGCAAGACGAGTGTTAAGAGCCCACGGCCTTGCCGGCGGTACACAGGATGCCAAATCCACCGTTAAAGTAGCTGTAAAAGAGAGAGAGAGAGTGAAGCAATATTGCGGTGAAGAGAAAGGGAAGAGAGATTGTCAACTGAAGGAGGAGAGCTAATAAGACGAAATGCCTTTGATTCCACCCTATCTAACAGTTGGACAGAAGAAGGGCCACCCCAGATATAAGAGCAGTACTCCAAGTTAGGAGTACAATATTGTTGGCCCCATTTCAGTTACTTAGGTCAGTATACTGTACAGTATTGTACACTTACTGGGAACCAACTTTGAAATCTCATGACAGAAAGGATTAAAGAAACATGAAGGATAGAACTTCACTTTAGCAACTTGTTATAACACTACTCTTAAGACCAAATGTACTGTACAGTGTACTGTATACCATATCTGCACAATCTTACATTCACTTACCTGTAATAGACTAGGGTACTCTAATACAAAATATCCTCAGCATCAACACAATTATTACATTTGCTGACCATAATACAGTACAGTACAGGCATACCCCTAAAACCGATGTCCCATTAACTGCCAACTCACATCACCAATGATTACATACAGGGGAAATACCCTGCAAATTTCAGTGATACCACAGAGATCCGACGTTTGGGAGAGGAACGGCAGAGCTGTTTTGAATTTGGTGGGCAGTGGTGTGGTGCGAATTCTTGCTACAAGAGGGCTCTGTGTGCTGCCTCTATCTCATTCCCACCTATTTGTACTTGTTTACACTTACCATGTGTCTCCGACTTCGTGTGTTATGCAATCATGCCCCAGTGATAATTCCTCTTGGGGGGGGTGAGCTGATGTGGTGTGATAAGGCGTAATAAGAGTGGTGATGGACCAGCAAAGACTGATAGACTTGAACTTGCCACCCTAGACCGTCTCTACCATCCTCAGCACAGGTAAATGTGTCTCAATTTATGCTTTCTGTTATGTGATGTAAGTTTAAATAAAGTGAGCTGCACATCCCGATGTTCATTTGTTACTGTTTGTTGTATGGGACATGGCTGCTAAGTAAACAGAAGGACTCTCTCTCCATGTTTTAATATCACCGTACAATTCCCATTGCCTTGCCTGCTGAACACGCAAAACTTTCCATTCCTTATTTAATGCTTATTATGCTTGCTTTATATATCTGCTTTATTTTTTTTACTTGAGTGTATACTACAGAAGTATATCAAGGTGTTATGTGTTGAGCAGGCAAAGCAATAGGAAAAGTTAGGTGATAATAATACATGTAGAGAAGTCCTTCTGTTTACTCAGTGGCCATATGTCCCATACAACAAACAGTAACAAGAGAACACTGGGATGTGCAGTGCGCTTCATTTAAACTTACATCATGTAACAAAGGGTAGATGGGAGTTTTTGGGGGTAGCCGGTTTGCAATTCCCATAATTTGTTATATTCTTAAAGGAATAATTGCTTCGATAACCATTGATTCACTAACCAACGACTTTTCACAGTCCCTATATGCATCAGTTATCAGGGTATGCCTTTACTATATATTCATTTGGTATCAATCACCATTGCGAGAGCAGTTTTCTATGAATCAAGCATAAACAAAAGACTTATGTAATTTGATTTACTGTACTGTAGTTTATTTTTTGCATTGGATGTGAATCATTTTGGTTCTATGTAATTCCTAATATCTTTTAAACATATAATACTGTATTATGTATTTATATAAATAAGATCTCTCTCTCCAGGCAGACACAGGGTGTGAACTTGGAACCAGAAATGTGGCGATAGTATATCTTATTTCATCTGTTGTGTAACTCATGTTTTAGTATTAATTTGCTCACCAGTATTAAGGGTGAATGTTGGGTGATATTTTGTGAATGTAGGGAGAGCCATATTATGGAATTATGGCAGATAAGTTATTACATTAATTGGGTCACAGGACCATGCTGTAATATTGTCTGTACTCTTGTTTAGTGTAAATATATTAACTGTTACCGTAGTTGTTACAAGCTGGTGTTACTTTAAACCCTGGTTAAACGATTTAAGGAATAATGTCCTTGGATGCATGCTCACAATGTAATTGTATGGTAATATCATCATCAACTATCAGCTGGAGGTAGCAAAGGTTTGTCTACATGATTCTGGTCCGTTGACCAAAGCTGTTATTTCAGAACGTGAGTCTGGTTAATGGGCTTTGGGGTTGAAGCACTGCTGGAAGAGAAGGATTATTCAGTCGTGGCCGTGACAATGGTAGTTTTACTTCCTTTGTTTCTGATGGGTGAAAATATTCCATCTTTTCTGGAGGCTACAATATATTCCTTCCAACAAGATATTGCTTCTTACCTTCACAGCGCGAGAGTTGAGAACAGTTATACATTGTTCACCACTGTCTTGGTCTAATGGTTTTATCCGGCAAATAACGTCCACTGGATCCTTGTCCTTCTTATGTTCTAGTGTCTGTGGTCGCCATCCTGTGGGAGTCTTGCTGCAACACACATACCATAGGAAAAATTTTAGTTTCAGTCATCCCTGCATTTAGATATCCAAACTATGTTTCTCCAATGGCTTTTGGAGTGTTTTGAATGATTTTGACCTTCATTTCTATCAGAAACTACTAGTTTTTGAGACCCCCCCCCCTCCTTATCCAACGGTAATGGGGACCCTCAGTGGGAACCCGGGGTTTTGGGTGGGAAAAAAAAAGTTATTTCTGACAGATATGAAGGTCCACATCGTTCTGAACACATTAAAAACCACCGGACAAACCTAACAATGTAACCTAACCTAGCCACAGAACCCAAGAACTATATCTAACATAACTAAGGAGGGGGCTTCACCCTCCAGACCCCTTCTGGTGGGCTTCACCATCTTTTCCGTAATAATTTCCGTGAAATCAAGCGATGTCAGAGAAGTAATCCACTTTGCAGCCCGTACATGTGGAAGCCATGACGAAAATAAATTTAAATTTAAGCGTCTCCTGGTGACAGACTATACTGACCTCTGATTGGTTGAGATGAAAACATTTCCACCAATTAAAGTCCAAAGAACAAGCACGCATGAGCAAGAATATGGCACAAGCATACTGCAGACTAGTAACCAACATATGAATACACAGGAACTCTGAAGACACTGGTAACATCAACATTAACAATGAACTTAGAAAAAATTCACTGCCTCCCCAATAAATTACAGTATTGCGATTTTCTCAGGAATGAATAATTTGCAACGGAAATGATATAGAAAAAAAGTGTCAGAAATTTCTAATTACTGATTCCAATAGTAAAATTCCTAAGATTCCCCAGATGACTGAAACTAAAATAATACCCACACCATACATTATTTATGTTTAAAAATTTCTTTCTGATTATTTGTGAGAGAATTTTCCAATTATTATTTATTTGTATGTGTTATGTGTGTGTCTACACACACACACACACACACACATATACAGGGCGATTTAGCAAAGCGTACATTAAATTGGAGGATGAAATCCTTGGATAATTCTAAACCACTCCTCGACTTACGACCTACTCGACTTACGACCACCCGGACATACGACCGCCCCAGTTGTACCAAATTTTTTCAAATTATGTATTTTCGAGTCCCGACGTTAGTGATCGCGCTGTGTACTGACAAAATTTTTGTTTGTAATTCCCTTTGAAATGGCTGGCAAGCATAAAAGTGAAAGTTTTGTGGTGCTGAGAAGAAAAAAAAGAGACACCCATTTTAGATTTTCTATGTATTATTTTCGCATTTTCTACTTACGACCAATTCGACTTACGAGCTGGTTGTCGGTCCATAACCCCATCGAAGTCGAACAGGCTGTGTGAAATATAACAGAGTCTAGGACTGCTTTTAGTGTCCTGGTGGCCCAGAGGTAACGTTTCCCGGTCACAGTTATAAGATCATGGGTTCGAATCCTGGCGGGGTGAGGTGTTGATTATATGTAGAAGTCCGCATGCTTTATTGGGCTAATGAAATATGTATTGATCCTCGTGTTTCGAAGCCAGAATTGGTAAAACGTTACTCTGATCACCTAAGCGGCACGGGTAGTCCCCATTAGAGGTTCATGGCGCAATAAGCTCGTTGAACTGGCTTTGTGCGATATACAACAGAGTCTAGGACTGCTTTTAGTGTCCTGGTGGCCCTGAGGTAACGTTCCCCGGTCAGAGTTATAAAATCTTGGGTTCGAATCCTGGCGGGGTGAGGTGTTGATTATATGTAGAAGTCTGCGTGCTTTATTGGGCTAATGAAATATATATACAGCTAGACCCCGACTTACGACGGGGTTAGGGACCCAAATCCAGGTCGTAAATCCGACATGGTCATAAGTCCGATATATATATATATATATATATATATATATATATATATATATATATATATATATATATATATATATATATATATATATATATATATATATATATGTATGTATGTATATATGTATGTATGTATGTATGTATGTATGTATATGTATATACTGTATATATATATATGTATATATATACAGTTGTACCCCACTTAACGCGGTCAATTGAACCCAGAGGGTCCCGCGTTAAGTGAAATCCGCGTTAAGTGAAATCCGCGTTAAGTGAACAACAGAACATATGGGATTAATTCCAATAGAAACCGGCCCGACCCCCAAACTCCACTTTTTGAAGGCACATACCTATGTTGTAGTAAAAATAACATCTTAATTTTATGATGGTACATGCACACAATTAATACTTAAGAGAAATAGAGAAATACAGTCGCCAAGTTAATGTCCATTCAAATAATGGACTCAACTCCCTCCCCCTCTCACACTACACAGCCGGCTAACAGATGGTCGGTCGGTCCCTCCCTCCCCCCCCCACCCCCCACCAACCGTCCCAAGGAGATGTGTGGGATAACCTCAAACTAAAGTTAGGAAAATATAATTGACATTGCTGGATTCCTTGTAAGACCAGGAATATTTTGAATATAAATGTCATATATTTTGCACAAAAGATAACATAGTTACCTAGAGAAAAATTTTTATCTAAAATTGTATGTTTAAAGCAAAATATATGATGTTTATATTCAAAATGATCACCAAATTATAAGAATTCCAGCAATGTAAATTATATTCTGACCGGGTAATTTGTATGAATTTTATGAGCTAAAACAAATATCTTCAGTTAATACAAAAAAAAAAAATCTTCACGACACTATCTGTCAATCAAAGTACCCCACCTTGCCTCCCCCCCTCTTCCAACCGCGCGGTCAGTCCCAACCCTCCCCCCCACCCCCCACCAATCCTCCCTTCCAGAGTTTTTAACATTTAGTATTAAATAATACCTCAGATTAAAGTTAGGATAATATAATTGACATTGCTGGATTCCTTGTAAGACCAGGAATATTTTGAATATAAATGTCATATATTTTGCACAAAAGATACCATAGTTACCTAGAGAAAAATTTTTATCTAAAAATTGTAAGTTTAAAGCAAAATATATGATGTTTATATTCAAAATGATCACCAAATTATAAGAATTTCAGCAATGTAAATTATATTCTGACCGGGTAATTTGTATGAATTTTATGAGCTAAAACAAATATCTTCAGTTAATAAAAAAAAATAATAATTCTTCACAGGGTAACAGATGGTCGGTTGGTCCCTCCCTCCCCCCCACCCCCACCAACCGTCCCAAGGAGATGTGTGGGATAACCACTAAATTTTAATAAATAATACCTCAAACTAAAGTTAGGATAATATAATTGACATTGCTGGATTCCTTGTAAGACCAGGAATATTTTGAATATAAATGTCATATTTTGCACAAAAGATACCATAGTTACCTAGAGAAAAATTTTTATCTAAAAATTGTAAGTTTAAAGCAAAATATATGATGTTTATATTCAAAATGATCACCAAATTATAAGAATTCCAGCAATGTAAATTATATTCTGGCCTGGTAATTTGTATGAATTTTATGAGCTAAAACAGGCAGTCAGGCAGGGTGGCGGGTGGGGCAAATCTAAAAATAGCATCTCGGACACTCACCGCGTATATGTGGAAAAAATCCGCGTTAAGTGAAAGTTCAGCTTTGGCAAGGCACCGCGTATATGCGAAAACGTTAAAAGAAAACCGTGAGGGGGGATAAATATATATATCTATCTATCTATCTATCTATCTATCTATCTATCTATCTATCTATCTATCTATCTATCTATCTATCTATCTATCTATCTATCTATATATATATATATATATATATATATATATATATATATATATATATATATATATATATATATATATATATATATATATATATATGATCTACGACTGCTTGGACTTACGACCGTCGGGACTGACCACCGCAGTTGTGACCATTTTTTATTATTTTGCACATTTCTATACCGAAACGTTTCCAGTTAATGTAGTCTCCATGTATAATTAGAAAATTAAGGGGCCCCACGTGCATTCAGCTGACTACATTAAAGGTAAGTGCTCAGTCACACTGTATCCATTCCTCATTATTTATTATTTTTACTGTACTGTATCCATTCCTCATTATTATTACTTTTAGGTACTGTATTTCATTGTAGATTTTATTTAAAAAATTTGATTTTTATTTATTTATTTTTTTTATCTACTGTACTGTATGTGGGACTTCGACCATTCGTTCTGACCTGGATTTGGGTCCCTAACCCCGTAAGTAAGTCGGGAGCTATATATATATATATATATATATATATATATATATATATATATATAAATCAACACCTCAACCCGCCAGGATTTGAACCCACCTGAGCCCTGACTGTGCAGGGCGCTACGGACCACCAGGATACTAAGTAATCCTAGACTCTGTTATATTCACAAGCATGAGTTTTAAATGCACTGTTAAACAAATGTTAATCAAACTGGCCAACAATACAGTGGCTGCATTTATAAGTTCCTTGCAAGGGAATGTAATATATGTTTTACTTAGGAACAGGTAAAGATCTTGTAACTAGAATTAAACAACATAAATACAGTGTTAGGACAGGCCAGGAATCCAATGCTCTGTTTATTCATTTGACAGATAATAAGCATTGCATTGACTGAGATAATGCTCCCTCATTATTAACTTGTAATTCAAATGACAGTGGAACATCATAGAATCTAGTCTCATTAAACATACCGAATCCATCAACATGAATTTAAGTAATGGTATGTACAAATTGGATAATTTCGTAATTAAGAAGATTTGTAACCAGGTGAGAAGGTTAGGGCAGCTTACCCTCTGACCTGACTACCTACGCTCACGGTGCTTTGTGAAGATTAGTAGGGTCATTACCTATACCGGGCCACTGTGGACTTGATCTCACCTCCTCTGTATATATATATAACATGTTTTGTACTTCTTCTTAGTCTGTACTCACCCTGAAGATGTGGATTCCACGCGAAAGCACTTGGGAACTGTGTTTTCTTTTCCTTGTGGTTATCCGTATGAACTGGATCACATGCAACTATAGTGATTTAATTGCA